AGGACTTATCATAATATGGCCAATAAGCGTAACCTGTCCTTCTAGATGTTCTACAGCTTCGTTATATGTTATTCCTGCGTGGCCTGGAATATACGCTATGTGTAACGTTGACTTTATGTTGTCAAGAAGTGTTTGACTTTTGATAACGGAGAATACTGAAGTCTTTTGAATCAAGTTCGGTCTTTGTTATTGTRTAGGAAAAACTAAATACACAAAAAGACTTAATATCAACAGAGTTTTAAGAAGTACTAAATAACAAGCAAAACAAAAAAAGCACACGAACAAAAATATGTAAATGAAAACAATGGCTATCACATTTTTGTCTGTGCTTTTACATAATTCATCATTCCTCGCATTGCCTATTTATCGATAGGTTGGTCTTAGTTCGTCTCCGTTTATCGCATTTTCTTTATTTCCAGGATCTTGGAGTTAAGACGTATGTTATTGGGGTTGGGGGGCATGTGGATATAAACGAATTACAGCTGTTGGTGGAAAACTCAGAAGATGTTTTTACAGTAGATTCGTTTGATAATCTCTTACGTAAACTCAAGGATATCATTCAACACGCAGACCAGCCAGGTTMGATATTTTACCCTTKTTACAAAAAGTAGTAGAGTTTTCAATATCGTGAAATTTAGAATTAATTGCAGATACCTTCAAATATGACMATACCAACCGCCGTACCTAGCGAGGCGAAGCGCCATTTTAGGTKKACACGAAAATGGCGGATTCGTAGGATTTCTTAAAGTGAGCGCGAATCGTCTTCTGTCCTTTCAGTTTYGACAGAAATAMMTTTAACTAAGTACCTCACAGGTACTAAAAATCTGTAATCTATTGTATGCTTGACGCATTTAAACGTATGTAAACAATAATACGAGCACGCAAGGTACGGCGGTTGGTTATGATTCTTTAAGGTATTCAATGGTTTTAAAATCATGTTGAATAGACTGGTGTTCCTTAGCTGATACGAATGTAAAAAACGCCTATTATTGAGCTTTGAGCTTTTTTTGTTGAGTAATAAAGCAAAACAATCGACAGGCATAAAAACGGTAATTATCTTTTTCTAACAGATTCAGCAAAGCCAGTGAGCATTACTGCGGATTTACTTTTTCTTATCGATTCTTCRTGGAGTGTCACCCAGGAAGAGTTTAGCAAAGAAAAGCAGCTCGTCAACAAGTTAGCGAAGGCTTTTAAAGTTTCTCCAGAGTATACAAGAGCAGGAGCAATTCTGTATTCAAATTTGGCAGAACTGAAGATTCCATTTGGAAAACATTCAAATGTTGAAAGTTTTAGCAATGACGTCAATGGAATTTCGTACATTGGTGGTAGAAAGCTGATAGATAATGCACTGCAGCTGGCCAGTGACACTTTTGGAGATGCTAGACCTCAGGTAATACAGACTAATCGACGTGAATGTAAAAAAAATTAAAACATTCACTCCGCATAGAGGTTACTATCCTGAGGTTACCCTCCCAAGCAAACNCATTGGGCTGGAAGACCAATGCTATGACAAGTCGACAATGCTGGCTTCTATATATAAAAGCTATCGAAAATGTGTATATCACAATGCTTCTAATCGACGTTGTCCTGACTGACACAATGTTTTGGCTTCATTGCTAGGTGCCAAGAATTGCAATTATTATGACAAGAGGTAATGACCTCACAAGCGCTGGATCCTACTCGTTGGAAAACGCTATTCGTTCACTTCGCGAGCGTAACGTGCATACTTTTGTCATTGGAGTTGGCGATAATTTAGATATGAACACGCTTGAAAACATGGTAAACGATCGAAAAAAGGTCATAACTGAGAGATCTTTCGACCGATTAAACCATTATGCACCATCACTAGCCAGATATATAGCTAAACACACAGGTAAGTCATATGTCAAGTACATAGATGGCGTTTACTTTATTTAGCGTCCTATTACATTGAAATTTTCAGATATTTCAACACCACTTGATTCAAGTACAGATGTTGTTTTCTTGATCGACTCATCTAAGACTGTGGGAGAAGAAAACTATCGAAGATTAAAAGAATTTGTAATGGCACTAGCAAAGTCATTCAAACCAGCCAGAATAGGTCCTCGTATTGGCACTGTGGTATTCTCCCGAAACGCGTACACTGTTAATAACCTTCCTGACTTCACAACCTATCAAGACTTTACGGAAACACTTAAAAAAGCTGGATTTCTTCGGCGATCTAGAAGAATAGGTATTACAGGGTGATTTACAGGGTGCCTCATAGTGTGCATTATTGCTATTGTACCGGAACTAAGAGTTTAATGCCTCTTATATAGAGCTATTCAAATATTATGCAGTTTAACGGCAAATTTTAACTATAACGACCCTACCCTAACAGACAATGGCTAAAAAAGGAAAAAAAACTCACAACAGATATTGAATCTAAAAAGGCATTTGATTACAGTCACTAAAGGCAAGAAGCGCGCCCCCTCAAAACACCATTATTCATTATTCGATTCAACATTACATTATTGAAATCAAATTTGAATTTGATTGGATTGATGATCGTATTTTGATAAAACCTTCTTCGTATTTCGCTTGTAAACATGCTGGTCTTTTGTAATTTCCACAAGTSGATGCATTGCAATATGCTGTCTGTTAATTTGGTTCGATCTGTTCCTTTTCGTGACAAAGGAATGACGGTYTCAAAAAGCTGGAAATGATGTGTTGTTTTCTGTCATTATCGGAGTTTGAGATTTTAATTTAATTTTGCATTAATCACCCGAGGTTTGAAAACGAAAAATAAAATGAAAAATCCAATAATGCATTGAATGACGAACTATTCATGTCTTTTAACTGTAATATCGTGTTGATAATGGGAACGTTTTCTTCTTTACATATGTCAGACAAAGCCATCGAAAGATTGGGTGAAATGTTTGAAATTGACATTCGTGGTGGTCCAAAGATTGGAATTCTAGTTTCAACTGGTCCAAGCAGCATAGAACACGGTTCTAAAACCTTGAATGAAGCGATGAAAATGATGAAGCAGATGGGAGGAAAGATGTACTCCATAGCCATTGGCCACAAAATAGACGACAAAGAAATTTTAAGCATCAGTCATCCCAATGACATCATCAAAATGCCTGATTTTCGTTCTCTGCAAGCGAGTGTGCAGACGATTGGACTTCACATTAGTAGGACGTATGGTAAAGTTTTATTTAATACATAATTTACTCAGAAAATCTGATTTTGAATATTTTTGATATCAATGTCATAMTGCAATATAAAGTTGAAATTAGGCCATACGCTACTGCWGTGATAAGTWTACTKTCGAGCTTTCGTCGGTCGCCGACAAATTGCACAACACGATGCTACTGAAGGACAACTTCATCACAATGTCATAATAATGTCTTAACGCAAGGAACATCAAAACTGCGAAATATCGTTTAGATGTGATAAAATATAAACCTTCAAACTTACCAGATAAATCCATTTGTTTGTACCTCCATTTTCTTGACTTACCATTAACTAATACCGTCATATTTTTAGGAAAACAGGGTCTACAGCGGACATCGCTCAATTATGATGTTGTTTTTATGATTGATTCTACCTCGGATGTTTCGTCATCAGACTACCAAGCACAGAAAGATTACGTCAAACGTTTTCTTCGGTTCCTCACACTTACATCAGATACAACTCGAGCAGCATTAATAATTTATAGCAATTACGGGCTTGTGAAATATAGTTTAAGAGACTTCCTGTCACAGGAAAAATTTGAAAAAGATCTCGAAAATATAGAACATCTTGGTGGATCAAGAAACTTTGATAAGGTGCTGGAAAGAGCAGCGACAGTGCTTACCGATGCTCGTCCCGGTTCAAAAAAGATAGCCATCCTTCTAACTGCAGGTCATCAACARCAAAAAGGAGCAAAAGCACTTAACGATGCCGCTCGTCCTCTTCGCTCAATTGGAGCAAAGATCTACGTAATTGCCATTGGAAACCAAGTAAACACTAATGAGTTGCAGAAGGCTGTACAAAGATCAGATGACGTCATAATAGTCCCGTCATTTGCTATTTTGAGAAACGCTGCTCAGGAGAGTGTAAATCATATATTAGGGATCAAAGGTTTGTTACCCCTTTTTAATTGTCGATTGATAAATTTGTCTTGTTGCTTAGATTGTTTTTGGCGGTAATCAAATGATTAGATCTGCACACTAGAACTTTCGTTTTTTTTGCAGGTGTTCCTGATGAATTTCAGGCAGATATTCTATTTATGATAGACTCTTCTAAAGATATTTCACGACGTGATTTTGATAATCAAAAGGACTATGTGAAGTACATCGCAAAGCTCTTAAACGTAAGGACAAGTAAATCTCGGGCAGCAGTCGTCAAGTATGGGGACAGACCAGTGGTTCTATCACGTTTTGAGAGTTTTCGGTCACTAGAAGAATTATCAAAGCAAGTTGATAGGGCCCAACCGGTTTGTGGTGACAGACGAATGGATAATGCATTTGACATAGTACCGGGTATATTCAAAAGTGCTCGTAACCATGTCCCTAAAGTCATAGTCGTACTTGTTGGTGGTAAGCAAGACACTGCCGCCCGACCAATTGCTGATTTTTCTGAAAAGGTTCACAATATAGGCGCTAATCTATTCATTGTTGCTGTTGGTCATGAAGTCGACTATAGTAAATTAAGAGCAGCAGTAGAAAAACAAGAAAACATGGTTGTTGTGCCTTTATTTGGTAAACTGAGACATCATGTTTACGGATTAATCAAGCATATTGCTGAAAGTAAGTTAAAGCTCATTTCCAAAATAACTATATACTCTCCATAGAATGACATGAAGCTTTTAGACGAATTTTTTTTAAATACTTTGCTACATTAATATTTTGAAGCTGTGATGTTCGAGGACGTGGGCGGATCCAGAAATTTTGAAAGAGGAAGCACGTAGACTCTGCGCCCTTTGCGGTCTTGACCGACGGAACGCTTCCATTTGTGGGATGATTTTTTACCTTATTTCATAAATTCCATAAGAAAATACTATACAAGTAAAGAAAGTTTGATAAAAATTTCATTATGATATAAATAATGATAAGTTTTTGATCACTCCCTTGGGTCCGCCCCTGGAAGAACTCTTATCGAATAGCCAATAAATTTAATTATACTGTGATAGTCCCCGCGGAAACTATTCTGGAAAAAAAGAATCCATTTTCAAAAGCATCTATCACCGAATAATACCCGAGTTTAATCTGCTCTTTTGTTTTTATTATTCATAAACAAAAAATTATGTGAAGCGGTCTAATAGCACTCAACGAGCTTTATATACTGATAGTACTCCCTCACGTCTGTCATTATTGCTTCACGTGATAGAACTGTCGATTAATAAGAGAAGATGAAAATTTGGTTTTGAATTATATGGAATGGGCAATTAAAAAGTGAATTATATCTTTAAATCGGATTCTCCAAAGCCAGAAAAATAATAGAGTGAATTATATTTTTAAATCAGATTCACCGAAGCCAGAAAAATTCCGTGGGGATGTGATATTCATGTTAGACTCCTCGGATTCTATCTCTTCAAGTGATTTTCTAAAGCAGAAAAACTTTACCAAATCTGCGGCCAAAGCGATCAATGTCTTTGATGGGAAGTCTAAGGTGGCTGTTATTAGTTACGGCTCCACATCGACACAAGCGATACGCTTTGGTAGTTATAAAACCAGCGATGAATTTCAAGCAGCTGTAGATTCCATTCAGCCGCGAGGTGGGTCACGAAGACTGGAGTTGGCGCTAGATAGTGCACTGATTGAACTGGAAAGAGCCAGACCGAATGTCCCTAAAACCGTTATTCTTGTTAGTGGTGGTAAGCAGGATTTTTTCAACCAAGATGTTTTCAATGCTAGTGTAAAGGCTTTAAGTAGACAAGGAGCTAAAGTCATTCTGATGGSWGTTGGCTCGGAACACAATGTTGGCCTGCTTGGTCCATTTGTACAAMCAGCGCATGACSTTTTTGATGTTGAAAATTTTGATGCACTTCAAGATAGAGGATGGGCCATCGGAAGAACTATCGTCCGCAATATTGGTAATCTATTTACGATAGATTTGTTTAAAACTAAAAAGTAAAGATCTACCATGGGTACCAGAGATTTGAATTTACCATTTCTCATAGTCTATTTACGGTKCCAAGTCCTGTTAGTTTTCAGGGCGTAATGTAAACTTTGGTGGCTCGGATAGCGCATCTCTCTCCTTGGCTAGCTTTCAAATACTGACTATGAATGTTCCCGACGATTGTTCCGTTAAAATTAGAGTGATATGATTGGATAACCTATGGATGGTCTGTCAAAACTATACACCAGACACTAGCATCAAATGGTTGCCTTTTCTCCGCAAAAGTCAAGACTCTCCTAGCTTTTATTGAGAAATATAAACAGAAAGGTAAACTAAACAGTGGTTTATTAATGCCAAGTTCACTCATAATTCATTCATTTATTGGATGCTGGCATGRAAGTGAGATCTGCTATTCGTKACACCAGAATTTCGGCTTTACGATTGAAAATCAACTATAAGATAGGGTAAATTATAATCTCTGGTATCCAGCCAAGTAAAGAACTGGTTTTATTCGCAAAATCTTCTKTATTTGATTTGTTCTTTGTTTCATATGTCTATCTTTAGGTGCACCAACATCTTTCCTCTCTGACATCATCTTCCTTTTAGACGCTTCTAAGGGAGTTAGTCACTCTGATTTTCTTTCTCAAAAATATCACATCAAACGGCTAGCAAGACTTTTGAACGTCCAATTGGGGCTCTCTCGGGCTGCCCTGGTCATCTTTTCTAAAAATGCCAAAACTGCTTTTTCGTTTGATGATTACGATTCGATGGAAATGTTAGATAAAAAGGTAGATGATGCTGCGTTTCTTGGAGGAACAAGAAGAATAGATAACGCATTGAGGTCAGCAGCTCATCTTCTTAAACAAGCACGCATCGATGCCAATAAGGTTGTCATACTTTTCGCTGCAGGTCAGCAAGGTAAGTCTTTTATTTACAACAACGTTTTAGACTTTGAAATTGATTTCAAGGTACTCCAAGGTGCAGTCCATCATCTTGCAATAATTCAATCATTGGGAGCCCCAAACATGATAATCGGGTTCCAAACCAAAATACTATACAGCGAGTTGGTGCTCCATCAGAAATCTCCCGATATCGCATATGCATGACACAATGCTAGGAAAGCGCCAATCTCTGGATTATCGGAGCGACAGCATATCAAAAATTATGTAATTTAATAGAAGCAAAAGCTCAAAAAAATGAAACAATATTCAGTAACTTAGTAACCAAACTGGTACGCATCCATTTGATTATAATGACAATCATGATACTGCCATATCCTTCTCCACTGTTTATTATCTTCCTTGTAATAGAATAGTCTCAAAAAGTAATTACTGTCTTTCCAAAAACAAACTGGACAAATTCTTCAAAAACTGGACAATTTTAAATCCTGTGGTTATGGATCTAATAAATTGCCTAACGTCGTTACTTTGATTTTCAAAGCTCCTGGTGCAACAAGTGTTCATGTCGCAGCAAAGCCACTGAAAGATCTTGGGGCAAGGTTGTTCATAATTGCTCTCGATCCTCGATATGATCGCAGGAACTTACTAGCTGCAGTTGAGACGTCCAAAGATCTAACAGTTATAAAAGCGTTTCGTGATCTACAATATAAAGTATCATCTTTATCAAGACACATAGCGTCCGGTATACATTACAATAATTTAGCAATCCAAATTCGCGATTTTATCTATTTATTACCTGGCTATATTCCTTTTCGTTGCTTGTATGTGTCCTCAACTATATGTCAGCTTATCTCTAATGAATTTGAATCTCTTTCAGAAAGTGAATATTGCAAGACTGCTGCTGATGTAGTATTTATAGTCGATTCTTCAGGAAGTATCGGTGCAGATGACTACAAAACAATGAAATCGTTTATTTCTGCGATGGCAAAAAGGCTGCGACTGTTATCTACAGGTTCTCGTGCAGCACTTRTTCAGTATAGCACAAATGCCACTAAGGAAATTGATCTCGACACCTATTTGAATTCAGACGACTTCTCCAGAGCTGTTGATGCTCTAGTACAACAGCGTGGGCAAACTCGCATAGATAAGGCACTCAAGTTGGCATACGATGACATTTTTAGCAGCAAAGGAAGTGCCAGGAAAAATGTCCAAAAAATAGCATTTGTCCTCACGGATGGTAGACAGACTCCAGATCCTGATGCTGTGCGACTAGATTTGGCTTCAAAAAGGCTTAGGATGGCTGGCGTRCATGTGATTGCAATTGGAATAGGACGTAACGTTGACAAAACAGAACTAAAACTATTGACTGAAAATGACAAGGACGTTTACATCACGGCGTCGTTTGAAGAACTTTTAAACAAAGTGGACAGGTTTTCTGAAAGTGCTTGCAAAGGTAGATATTAAAGGTATTTTATGTATCAAAATGTCTTGATGTTAGGACTTCGTTATTATTGTTCTAATTCAAATCGTGAAAAGTACGGTATGTATGTMTGCGGAGACAGGGGATGTTTTCTCAGGTAGGCTCTGCAGACTCTCCACTTTTCCCAATAACTCAATCCTTGGATTTTTTGAAAATCCAAATCTCAGTCGCACACTCCGCAATCCTTGACATTGCATTTGAATTAAAATTCAAACTTGTTGTCTTTAAATAGCCACACAGCGACCCATTAACATAGAGGCTGATATTATATTCTTAATGGATTCTTCTCAAGAAGTCACCGAGAGTACCTTCGTCGGAGAAAAGGAACTGACGAAACACTTGGCTAGATTACTTAATATTTCTCCAGGTAACTATCGACATTGGTTGCATACAAAACCACTCAAACAATACAAATTAATCTTTGATTATCGTTTCCTAAGGCAAGTCAAGAGGTTCTGTCGCTACATATGGGTCGATTGCAAAAAAAGTGATTTCTTTGGGAGAATTTCAATCAATGACCGCTTTCGAGGATGCAATTGATAACGCTATATTCATTGGAGGAGAGAGGCGAATGGATAAAGCACTTGAGATAGCTGCATCTATGTTGGCCAGAGGAAATCCATCTTCACCCAAGATCGCAGTGTTAATGACTACAGGCAATCAGGTACTTTTCCTAAGTTTCTATCATATAACTGATTAATATTTTGGATAAATTGAATAAATTGATTTTTGTTAAAATTCTTGTTTTCCATAATAAAGTCTAAAGTCCTATAGTATTAGACATATATTAGTCTAATTCTATATACAGCAAAGACAATAATATAATAATAATAATTTAATAAGATAATAATAATTTAATAATTTCTATAGCGCCATTTAACAATGACAGATCAACAGCGCTTTACAATCGTAATATTAATAATATTTAAAATGTGGCATATATACAAGAATAAGTAATAAATTCGAAAATAACATAAGAAATCCTAATTAATAAAGAGATAAAATAGAAATGTATATTCAAATTACAAAAAAGGCCATCTTAAAGAGATGGATTTTCAACGTTTTCTTAAGAGTCAAGTCAAGTTTCAATATAATAATTTCTTATTGGCATTGGTAAATCGTTCCATAATGTTGGTGCTGCGCTTGCAAAGGATCGTGCGACCATAGTGTTACACATTTTATTACTTTAGATAAATATTATTTTTTAAATGCCTTTGTCAAAACTACCCCAAAAGGGGTTCAAAGTTGTTTCTAAACAAGGAATTAAAATCACTTCCCTAAAAGATGCAGTTAAAATTGCTGGACTTGAATCTTCTCCAGAAAAATAATTATCTAGTGCATATAGCTCGTTCGTTGTATGATACAAACAACTCGTGAATAAAATCCCATATATTAGGCCTCGTTAAAGAAAGATATAGTCACGACTCACGACATTAATTTTTTTTCATATAGGGCAAAGTATCTGATGAAAACAAATTCAGTCTTGGTACTTATTTGTTGAGAGACCTTGGTGCAAACATTTTTGTTGTAGCTATTGGTAACAAGCCATCTAGACATAAGCTTCTTGAAATTGTTAGGAAACCTTCAGAAATTTTGTCTGTTCCRAATTTTGATGACATCRTTRCTCGAGCATTGCCAATTTCTCAAGAAATCTCTCATTCTGGTAAGACTATCAATTTGTGTTTATTTAGCTATTTGAAGGATCGTATTGTGCCTGATGGGAGCATTATCGGGAATTCATGATCGTTYATTTCATTGCTTCCTTGATGGATTTATACTTTTAATATGGTTGATGCTGACCATGGCACTTTCTTCCGATCCATTTTTCTATGTCAACTCATTATCGTAAACGGATTGTGTATATGTTCCTTTTCTTAAAAATCTATGGTCCACCAGTATTCAATACGGTCGTGTTTTAGATTTTGCATATATGGCAAGTGAGGCGATTGATGTGCATTCGCAATCGATTTCCATACGTCCGTTAAGGACCAACCTTGCAATATCTCCATACATATAGTATAATGTCATAATAAAAAGTAGGTATATGCTTATATCACGATATTTTATTAATTTATTTTTTATTTTCAAGCATAATCAAATGCTCGATAGGGATGCCGGTGGACCATGGACCTTTCATGTTGGCCAACATTTTACTTGATATTTTTTTGAGCTTACCATGTAATTTATGGAAGCATTCATTTTTTCAGGTGCGTCACCGGATTTTGTTGCCAATATAATATTTTTAGTGGACACGTCAAGTGATGTAACTCCATCACACTTTACTAGCGAGCAAGCGTTTATCAAAGAATTGAGTAAGCATTTTAACTTAAGACCTGGCTACTCAAGGGCATCATTGGTCCCTTACGGAACGACGGCTGACGTAGGTCTGCGCTTTGAAAGTTACACTACATCAGCTGAGTTTGATTCAGCATTGAATGGCTTGAGACCAGTAGGTGGACAGCGAAACATCGATAAAGCGTTAGCAACTGCTGCTCAACTAATACCCGATGGACGCCGCGATGTGCCGACAATTGTTGTGCTGTTGGTTGCTGGAAATCAAAACGTTCAGGCGCTACCATTACCACAAAAAGCTATATCTCATATTACAAATCTTGGAGCTCATATATATGTGATAGGTATACATAGGATACATTCATTTTATTTGATTCTTCCATGTGTGGGTTGTTCTTGTTCTTGTTGTTGTTGTTGTTAATAGTGGTTGACTGTTGAGAGATTTTTTAAAATCACAGTTGAACATGGATGAAATTAATTTGTGTTTTTAGGTATTGGCCCTGAGAAACAATTCAGCATGTTTAAGTCTTCTCTGAATCCATGGTCTTTCTTCAATATTCTTTCCTTCAATCATCTGACAGGCAATGCTCCGAGAATAGCAAGACAAATCGCATCAGGTATGAGCAAAATAGAAAATAAAAAGAAGAATGCCGTAAAGCTAATTGTGGAGCTAAAACTATTTTGATTTCATGCTTATAGCTACTCCATCTTGCACTGTGCCAGTGGATTTGGCTATTCTTATGGATTCCTCTGCACTTATCAGTCCGTCTAACTACGCTAAAATGAAATCTTTTGTGTCCTCGTTAGTTAGTAATTTTGGAATATCACGTGGTTCACGTACAGCGGTTATTCTATTCAGTGACTTCGCAAGTATAGAGATCGATTTTGGACATCATCAAAACTTTAATGACTTCAGAAAACACGTTGATGGTTTATTCCACCAAAGAGGGAGAAACCGAATAGATCGAGCATTGCAACTAGCTCATAGTGGACTCTACGGTCCTAATGGCTCCGCTCGTCGTGGTGTACACAGAATMCTTGTGCTTCTCACAACTGGAGAGCAGACGCGCGATCCTGACTATCTACCCCTGGATAAAGCTGCTTCAGTTTTGAGGAAAGAGGGTGTTTATATTTTTGTCGTTGGAATAGGCTCTAGTGTTAACAAAAAAGAAATCAGGACTATGGTAGAAAAAGAGAGCGATATTTTTCTGGCATCATCGTTTAGCGATTTATTAGGAAAAGTTGGGTCATTTTCGAAAACGTCCTGCGAAGGTAGGTTTGAATTTATTTAACGTTAAATCTGAGTATAGATTTAACCTGGAAATTTCGTAATTAGTTAAATGCATTTCAATCTATTTCYAATTTCCTCATTTTTAGCTTTAGATATTTATGACAAAACAGAGCTAGTTGAAAGAGTTCTTAGTAAAATTAATTAGATATGACAATTTRACGTTAAAATTCATTAAATTAATTCAGAATTCATTTTAAAGAGCCCCAATCACCAACAAATGCTKACTTAGACGTWGTTTTTGCGGTCGATGGCTCATCAGCTATAAGGAAGAGCGAATACGACAATCAAAAGAAATTCATAAAGAAAACAGCTCGTTCGCTGAACATTGCTCCTGGTAAATCGCGTGGTGCACTAGTGACTTATGCCAACGTACCAAATCGAATCTTCATGTTTGATGGATACGACTCTCAGTCGCAATTCGATATTCAAGTAGATGGAGCTATGCAAAAAGGTAGCGTTTGTTTCAATTTTCTTGGTACCAGTGCATATAAATAATGTGAAACTGATTTATTGTAGCATGCAAGTATACAAAAAGACAAAAACCAAGCCAGTATGGGACTTGAACAAATAAATTAAAATTTATATGAAAAAGACATATACTAAGCCAAAAGTTCACAAGCTAATAAAAATGTACCTTGAAAATTTCATATTACTTGAACAAATCTGCTAAACAACACCAAAATATATTTTACGAAAAATATTGTTATTTATTGATAGTCAGATTTTTCAAAGCTCGAATCTTTATACCTGATAAAACACTCTCGTGTTTTAAACTATACTTCATTTGACTTGATTTCAATATTAAACACTTATCATTTTAGGTGGACCACGTCGCCTAGATAAAGTGTTAGAAGAAGCGAGGAAAATGTTCAACTTTTCTCGAGCTGGCATACCAAAATTGCTTGTTTTGCTTACCGGAGGAGATCAGAAGTYAGGAGTTGGTGTTCAGGATCTTRCCGAGATATCCAGACATTTGTATAATATGGGAACAACAATATACGTTATCAATGTTGGAAATGACCCKGGAAGTAAAATACTGCAATCCATGGTGGAGAACCCCAAAAATATGATTAATGTGAAGTCATTTGATTTACTTCCTTTATTGTCCAGTTCAATTGCAAGAGAAATTGTCAAAGGAACGCGTAAGTTTGTAACATGTTTAATGTATAGTTTAAAACACGATCTCGAGTGTTTTAAACGGCTTCAAAAAGTCCAACTCTAATTTGAAACTCAAATCCATTAAAATTCTTGGAGAAATTGACGTACAAATATGTCTGAGATAAATAGGGCAAACTGATCATGCGCGAATCACTTTACAAAGCATCCTCCATTGGTCAATGATCAGGTTTCAAGTCTGAGACCTTTGCTAGGGTCATTGACCTTTTTATCTGATAAAGGTAAACCCTTATTTGTATTCTTTATATAAAGAATACTAATAAGTAGTGTTTTATCAGATATAAAGGTCCATGCATGTGACCAAATAGGCTAATTCTATTAGCCTAATAACTCATTAATTATGTATGAGTTTTTCAAGCTGATTTACCGTTGATAATTGGCTTTTCATCTCTATAACAGCAATGTACAATATAATGTTTTGCAGAAACCAAAAGAATTTTTAAAACCATTCGGATTCAGGATCTTCTCTCTTAGTAATTTTTGATTTTCAGTTATAGAGAAATGCGACATCCCTTTGGATATTGTTTTCATCGTTGATTCATCTGGTAGTATACGTGTTGGAGACTACAGGAAAGTGTATATATATATAAACCTTTCATTGAAAATTAACTAGAATCAATGAAATTATCAATCAATTCCAATTTCCTCTGCAGAAAAGTGAAATCTTTCATCGCTCGTCTTGCAAGCAATTTTCATATTTCACCAATCAGTACACGACTTGGTTTAATCCTGTACAGTAATAATGCAACGAAACAAATTGATTTTGAGGATTATCCAAACATCGATAGCTTTGCTTTTGCTGTGGATGCTCTTCCACACCAAAGAGGGAAGACGCGTATCGACAAAGCACTTCTTTTGGCTTATAAAGAATTCTTTGGACCAAAAGGGAGTGTTCGTCGGAGAGTTTTGCACATCGCCATAATCATGACTGATGGTATGCAGACGAAAACCCAGGATGCTGTTTCACTTGACAGGTAAAGTAATAGATCTCTGAAGCTTTTATTTCATACACCGTATACACAATGCTTGTAAAATATTATTACTATATTGCTATATTATTACTCTTGTAAAATATGTTTGGGACAAAACATGGCGGATTTATTTTGTTTTCTCCAGAAAGTTATTCCACAATGTATTGCAAATAATGGAGATGACGTAAAAGCTGCAGAAGTCTATTGAAGTAATGCTAATTAATGATGAATTGGGTCAGGCTACTTAGGGGAAAACAATCTTCCTTATTAGGGCTTCAGAAGCTTTGAAGCGTGCAGGAGTGTATATAATGGCAGTAGGCATTGGACAGGATGCACAACGTCAAGAATTAAGACTTTTGACTACAGATGACGATAACGTACTTATGCTGGAGTCGTTTGACGCTCTCTTGAGAAGAGTACAAAGTTTTGCTGAAACAGCGTGTCAAGGTAATTTAAGGGCGTCTTTATGCCGTTATGGTGAACACAGAAAATACTATAGCACCATCACTATAATATCACGGATTCTATATTTTTTTCTAACATATAAAGTGTATATAATCTACTTTTGTTATCATTTATTCACCGGACTCTCTCTCCACTCAAGAATGACTGAGTCACTATTCGGTCGAAAAGACATGCAAAATTTTAAAAGCTTTTTGATTGCGTCAACGTCCATCGGGAGTCTCTTTAGCTATTTTGTTAGGTCTTCTTCCCATTCCTTATCCTCGCCTGTCACCTCTCCATACTCACATTGTATACATCGCAAACGCCTTTTCAAAATCTATAAATCCCATCTATAAAATGTATAAATACCTGCTGTGTTTCCCCACTTCCATTCTATAGCCTGCTTATTACTTCACGTTCTAAAATGCGCGTATTCTGCTTGAGTATAGAGAAAGCGTTAAAAAAAGGTTTTATTTTTTTCACTCTAGCTTCTACTTTTCCTTATATTGACGGAGATATCATTTTTGTTATTGACTCTTCGGCTGCTGTGAAAACCGGAGACTACTTCAAGGAAAAGGATTTTATAAAATCACTGGCTAAATTCTTAAACGTTCGTCCTGGTCATTCACGAGCTGCTCTGATCACGTATGGCAGTCAAGCCTTCCGTGTTATTAACTTTGATGAAACGGACACCTTGAAAGGATTTGAACAAGCAGTAGATAGAGCTGGAAAAGCTGGAGGGCCAAGACGTATCGACAGTGCTTTGGCTTCAGCGGCCACGATGCTCGACAAGTCTCGACTTAATGTTCCAAAGGTTGGTCTAATTGTCTATGACTTCAAAAGTATATATTATATATACACAAATACACATATACAAATAACAACTTTATGAAATATATAAAATTTATGAAATATATATGGGGCGCCTTTAAGGTATGATGTCGTCGAGTTACACAATGTGATTGACGGAAGTACAAATCGCTGTCTTTTTGGTTTTAGAACTTGTTTCTGGTGTTTTAGGCTGTGTTTATCGCCTGATATAACACCAGGTTTATTTATTCACTTTTATTTCTTTGTTCTATTGTTTAGATCGTAGTTCTTTTGATAGCAGGTGAAACATCTCCAGCGATTACCCGTAATGAGCTTTCTGGTGCTGCAAAGGCTCTACGGAGTCTTGGAGCTAAAACATTTGTGGTTGCTATAGGAAGTAAACCCACGGAAAGCGAAYTGCGACCTATAGTTCAGAAACCAAGTGATATATTTCGAATTGAGTCATTTGATCTCTTACCTATCGAGATGCCTTCTGCAGCGAGACTAATTGGTGAACAAACAGGTATGCTATATTCTGTGCTACGTGTCAAAAAATTGACTTCCACTTTGTACGCAAAATGCTTACATGTAATAGCTGACATCTTATGCTAATGTATAACAATGTGACATGTAATTTCAGTAGACCTCGCGGTAGTCACTATGTCGGCTTTCATGTTGCACTGCAAAATATCCACGTGATCTTTCAGTTTACAAACATTAGAAGAAACGGGTAATTTTGAAAAATCTCTATCCCAAACRTTATGTCAAAATATCAAAAAAACGTCTGTAAATTTGCAGTTATGTAAAAAGATAAATTTAACACCGTAAAAAAGTATGTGGAAAAACTTACACACTTTTACGGTGTTAAATTTATCTTTTTACATAACTGTTTCTTTAGAAACACCGACGCAGCTCACACTAGTTTACCGCTAGTTCCCACCGTCTGTAAATTTGGAAGTTTTAAAATGGATATTTTTTGTTTTCTTGCAATAATCCGAAAGTATGTTTCTAGACGAACTACATGGAACTACGATATAAAAAGCATCATGGCGGCTATCGTGAATAAAATCCGTTCAAATATGGTGTAATACCTTACATCATGTCCCATAATCTTTGAAAAAAATACCTCCTGTGGAAAGACGAACAATGCCAATCTTAATTCTGATTGCGTCTTAATAATTCTTGTTAGGAGCTCCTCCAAATTTTGGGACAGACATCATATTCATGGCAGATTCATCAAAAGACGTAAGCTCGATTGACTTTAGGAGGCAAAAATCAGTTTTGAAGCTCATGGCCAATCTACTCAACGTACAATCAAGGCAATCGCGTTCCGCTTTCATTACATATGGTGACACTCCTAATGTAGTTGCAACATTTGATGTTTCACTGGATAGGTTCAATCTGTAAGTAAGGTGTTTTCTAAAATAATTGGAATATAATACACTCTGATTGTTCAAATAGTGACTTGGATGAGAATATCAAGCTTGCTCGCACTCGCGCCACCGTTTGTAAAGCGAATTTTGTTTTCAATACCTTGCGTACGGCGTGTTTTCCCTACATTCGTTTTATAACCAAAATATTTTTTTGTAACCGAAATAAAACAATCTAATACCTCAGAGTGCCGAAGTACGAAAATCAATTTTCCACATAGGCTTGTCAACGAGGCGTCCCCAGTCAAAGGCACACGACGAATGGATCTTGCTCTGGAAAGTGCAATAAGACTAATGTCRCAAGCCCGACCCCAAGTTCTCAAGATTATTGTTACATTTACTGGTGGAGAAAATGACATCATAGCAAAACCATTGCAGTTGGCTGTCCACAAATTACAAGATATGAGTATTCGCTCCTACGTTATTGCATTTGGGGAAAACCCTAAACTGAATTCGCTTAGTGAAGCAGTCAATAAACCACACAATCTTTTGCACTTCCCTGACTTAAGACTGTTGAGGACAAAAGGATCAGAAATTGCTCGTCATATTGCAATGAGTAAGTATTCAAATGTAGAATAACACATCGATGATTTAGAGATGCAGGCGCGTAGCGTCCTTTACGCATATACGCACGTGCGTACTAGTGGAAAGGAAATATTACAATTTTCGGATTTTTTTTATAATTGTATATGGTTGCTCTCTCGTACCAAGGCTGCGTTATCAAAAAGAACCTCAAAACGCTGGAAATCGCATTTCCAAAAGTTATTATTTAAAATAATGTCTGCGTACTAGCCAAAACGTCGACGCTAAGCGCCTGAGATGGCGGTGGCAATGAGTAAAGTTTTCCTGAAAAATAAATATCAAAGATAAAAAATATGTATATAAATATAAGACACAGTATAAAAAAAGAAAACTCTCGAGAAAAAAATCTATATATTATTATTAAAAATAATTGTAATAGCTTGTCCCAAAAACAATTGATTTAGTTTACAACTTTATCCAACAGCTTCGTCTGTTTGTAATTCTCTTGTCGATATCGCCTTTCTTGTTGATTCATCTGGCAGCGTAACGAAGTCCGACTTCAACAAAATGAAACGCTTCATTACCGAAATGACGAGTAGGTTCAACTTTTCTCCTACCAAGACTCGTGCAGCTGTCATTCTCTTTGGAAGCGATGCCAAAACTGAAATTGATTTCGAATCGTATGGCCGTTTTGATGCATTCCGAGATGCTGTTACAGGACTTCCCCATTACGAAGGTAGGTCTCCAATTAGTTACRAGAAGTCGCTCAGGATTGCTCTTGGGTGTTTTTAAGGACATATTTGCGAAAATTGCACAAGGTACGGCTACTWATCGACCCCGTTACATTTTAAGAGGGTTTTTTGGGGCGGCGGGGGAAGGGGACATTTGCTAAAACCTTAGTTTCCACAAAGTCATTCAAAGTAACGGCGGCTATGGATCTTGGATTAAGCTGGTCCTCATGTATTAACTATTATAACCAAATTCAACACATTCACATTTAATTCTTGTTTTTTTGGATTATTTCGTTTTTGCTAGAGTGACGTTTTAGGCATTTGAGATTATTCCCAAAAGGCTAGCGAAATATTTCCCTTTCGCTTCGCATCAAAAATACTTGAAAAAAGAACTACAGCCATACGAAATCGACTATTTGAACTATTGGCAGTGTGAAGATAGAGCAGATTTCGTATGACTGTGCAAAAGCACGAATCACAACACGTACACGACACGGAACGGTCACGGGACCTCGCCTTCTAGGATTTCAAATGAAAGTAAAGATTTTACAATGCTTCACGGCTACGGCACGGTACGGACACAGCACGAACGTACCGTGTTTTTTTGCACAGTCATACGAAATCCGCTCTAATTTTAATTTGTTGTCATACATGTATTTGATATTATTTTGCGATGCGATTCAATTAAAAATGGCAACTTTCGCTGGCCTTCAAGTGGGAGCAATATTTACCAAATACCTAAAAGAAATGAAAGGACATGGACGACAAATCGTTAGAAAAACGAATGCAAGCTTCTGCARTGCAATTTTTATTGAGTCTTCCTGTCGTCTATCAAATACACTAGCTATGRCCACAACAAACAATATGGTTCAATGGTGACACTATAAATTTTTTTTTTCTCTCTACAAAAAAAATGGTGAATATGAACAATTAGGTGTCGCAAGAATCGACCGTGCCCTRCAGCTGTCATACAAAGACTTGTTCGGTCCAAATGGTTCAGCTCGTCCAGGAATACACAAGATAGCTGTTGTTATTACGWATGGCAAGCAAACGCCATCAGTCGATGCCGTTGATCTAGATAAGGTAACTTACCACATGTATCTTTGAATCAACCCATTTAACAAATTTGATTRGACATTTTTTGCCTTCAAATAGTCTGCAAAACGCCTATTTAGAAGTGGTGTTGATGTTCTAGCTGTTGGTATAGGCCCGTCAGTCGATAAAAAAGAACTACGACAGCTCGCTAGAATAGAAAGCCAAGTTTTTYCGACTAGAGATTTCGAAGACCTCTTAGAAAAAGTTGAGGATGTCTCACTAACTGCTTGCAACCGTAAGTAAAATAATGGCTTTGGTCATTCAATCAATAAGAGATCCATTGCCTCCGTATCTGTATTCCTCTTTTCTTATCTACTTATGTAAAAATATTATCAAGCCAGTTTGAATAATGATTAAAATTGAAGAAAATTGCATAATAATGAGCTTGAGAAGTCGGCTTCTGGTCGAACTGGGAGCAAATGCTTAGATTTATACGGTTCAGATTTATACGGTCAAGTCCTCATTGTCAGGCTTTACTAAAAAAATAAGGAAGGTATGGTGCGACTCTGTTAGCAAACCGCGATAGAAGGTAAAGAACGAACCATAGAAGTAATGGAAGAGGTACGACCTGTTATCAAACAAAARCGTGGATAATTCAATCCCACTTCATAYGCAGTTAACGCTACAAACAGCGAAAGTAATAATTTGATGCGACTATTTTATTGTAAAGCATATTATACTAACAAACCTGCCAAAGGTTATCAAGCAACCAGTAAATCAATGTTTCCYTTTTCACCAAAGAAAAAACAAGCTATTCGTTAACTTCGTGATAAATGTATTTACTTGATTAATTTATATTTCCTTTCAGCCGATAAAAGGATTACAGACACAGATGCTGATATTATATTTCTAATAGATTCGTCTAATCTTGTCGGACCACACGACTTTGAAAAACAAAAATATTTCGTACAATACCTTGCAAAGTATCTGAAGATGACTCCCGGTCAGTCGCGTGCARCTGTGATATCCTACGGCAAGACCGCATCAAAGGTTCTTGGTTTCCTAGATTACAAATCTGTGCCCGAATTTAATAGGATTCTACAAAGCGCTAAACCCCTTGGCGGTTCAAGGAATATAGTAGATGCTATAAGATACACGACATCTTTGTTGAAAGACACGAGGGYTGATAAGAAAAAAATTATCATATTGTTAGCTTCTGGWCCACAGCAAGGACTTGATGGATCAAAAGGCTATMATGCTGCGATGCAAGATATACTTAATGCTGGTGCACAGCCTTTTATTATTTCCATCGGAGACAAGAAGRGTCACAAAGCATCACGTCCACGAGATCGGAGAAATATGATCRAAGTCGAAACATTTGACTTGCTTTATCCCAGAGTCTATCCTRTTGCCAGAGAAATATCAAATTTTCCAGGTATGTCAAGTTTTTTTACTATTTTTTAAACTTAGCGTTATATCATTGTGAAATTGGACAGTGGTCTTGGAACACTATAACACTGAAATAAATTCATTAGGGACCTCGGAGCATGGGGGGCTGGGGAGCTACAGCACACACACCCCCAAATAATTCTTCTGACATTTTGAATTTTATTGAATAAAGAAGCGATGAGCCTCCTTATGAAATGCCACCATATATATTCTATAAAAATTGTGTAAAAGCCGAGTGTGAATAATTAAAATTGAAGCTTTTTTGCGAAGTCTTTGTGATTTTATTGTTAATATCGCTGACCGTGTGTGCGGTAAATATGTCTTGGATAACTCCTCAAAACGCTGGAAATGACATTTCCGAGAGTTTAGATTTCAAAAATTTCCGAAACCCCCTAGTACCTCCTAGCCCCCCCCCCAAACAAATTCACGCTCCGGGGTCCCTGTTCATACGACTTTTTTTCCTAAAAAGAATTTTTGAAATGTACAGCTGTCCCTATTGTCAATAGAATCTACAAAATTATTGGTTATCCTAATAATTTCTAATCTAGGAACGAGGCTATTGACGCATTTTTATTTTAAGGGTTAACCATTTTTTTCTTTTCTATTTATTTGACTTAACGGGCCTTACCATTTTTCATAGCTCCGCCAATGCCGATAGAGCCCGAAGATTTCAATGCTNTTTTTCCGACATTTTGAATTTTATTAAATAAAGAAGCGATGAGCCTCCTTATGAAACTTCACTATATATATTCTATAAAAATTGTGTAAAAGCCGAGCGTGAATAATTAAAATTGAAGCTTTTTTGCGAAGTCTTTGTGATTTTATTGATAATATCGCTGACCGTGTGTGCGGTAAATATGTCTTGGATAACGCCGCAAAACGCTGGAAATGACATTTCCGAGAGTTAAGATTTCAAAAATTTCCGAATCCCCCTAGTACCTCCTAGCCGCTAGCCCCACAAACAAATTCACGCTCCCGGGTCCCTGTTCATACGACCTTTTTTCCTAAAAAGAATTCTTGAAATGTACAGATGTCCCTATTGTCAATAGAATCTACAAAATTATTGGTTATCCTAATAATTTCTAATCTAGGAACGAGGCTATTGACGCATTTTAAGAATAGTCAATTAGGCAAACGTTTTTAAAGGGTTAACCATACCATTTTTTTCTTTTCTATTTATTTGACTTAACGGGCCTTACCATTTTTCATAGCTCCGCCAATGCCGATAGAGCCCGAAGATTTCAATGCTGATATATTATTTATGGTGGATTCATCGTCTCCCGTAAGCAAAGCTGATTTCCAAAGACAAAAAGACTTCGTT